CCTGTGGCTTCTTTTAGGGAGCCCGTCCATCTCGCATTGGTCCTTCCTCTTTTCCTGTTGCCTTCAACTTTTCCTAGCATTATTGTCTTTTCCAGAGAATCCTCTTGCCTTCTCAGGATGTGCCCAAAGTAGGACAGCCTCGGTTTCAATGTTTTGTACTTCCACAGATAGTTCAGGCTTGATTTGATCTAGGACCGAAAGTACAGAAAGCTCATCCTCACCAGATCTTGGAGTGACAGAATCTGCAGTTTTAATTCTGAGATGGAGGTGGCAGACTTGAAAGACTGGCTCAGAGAATGGTGCGAATTCAGTTTTATCCCTGGGAGGCAGAATCTACGGTCTTTCTCCCTCCATCTCTATAGACAAAAGGCTGACCGATGCTGAAACACAGAGCATTACATTTATTGTAGAGCAGGCAATAAAGGAAAAGTGTCTTCTGTATCCTGGTTGTGCTGTTTCTTACTTTCCTTGATGCTCACCAGATCTGTTAACGAGTCCAGGCAGGTCCCTTAACTCATTAGTGCAAGAGAGTTGAGCTTTACTGCTGTCTTTCTGCAACCACGCCAGTGCTGATGCTGTAGCGCTCAAGTGAGGTACTTTCTCCAACCCGGTTCCGGGGTCTTAAGTAAACCCAGCAACGTCCTTTCAGTTGCCAGGATTCTGACTTTTCAAAGTCACTAACCAAAACCCTTTGGCCCAGCAGATTGCAGAGATACCGCTAGGTTAAAATAAAGTCCCATAAATAGCTTGGCTGTAATAATTATTCTTTACTTCCGTAGCAGATGTTGACATTTTACTCTTTCATATTCCAGAATTAAATGTCAAGTTATTCCTGTTTAGAATGCAACATTTTTATTTCCTTCCTACTGAAACATTTTGTCTGAAGCTGCATTTTTTTTAACATGCGTGGTTAATCAGGGAGGTTGGGTCGTGGTTACAAGATGGGAAGAGGAGAGAGAGAGAGAGAGAACGAACACCTTGAGCTCATCTGATCTTACCTGATTTTGGAAGTGAACCAGGGTCTGGCCAGGTTTGTCCTTGAGTGATTAGATGACCAGCGACAAAATGCAGCAAGGATGAGGCCAGCATCTGACTAGGTATAAGGGTGCAACTACACTAGCAAGCTTTGCTGTAGCTTGATTCATTGTCTCTTTTACGATTGCAGTGAGTTTAAGTAATTTCACAAGACCTGGGATTGTTGTAATGCCAGTGTCCACACTGGACCTCAGTCTGATGTAATCTGATATGTACCCGTGATCTCCGTTCCTTTGATACTGCCCATTTCATGATCCACAGTTCTCCTTTCTTATCTTTTTTCAGAGGTGGGTGTCTGTGCAGATGTGATATAGCGCTAAACGACTTCATTAAACATCGAGCTTCAGAATGACTAAGGAGAAAGATTGTGAGGTTGGGTGTTCCCAAAAATACATCATCACAACACAGAGAATCATCTTTGGTGCCTCTTGTTCCTATTCTACTAAGGTTTTAATTCTTGCTGACTTATTGTTTATTACTATATGTTTTATCCATTGTTGTAAACCACTCGGGATAGTGTTTTGCACTCATGGGGTGGTATATAAATCAAAGAGATAAATAAAAAAATAAATAAATAAGCACCACTCAGAGCCATGCCTCCCAATCCTTTCAGATCCCAACACATGTGGAGGGAACGGTTGCCTTTTCCGGTGCAGGCTGGCCTCCAACTTAGTCTGTATGGTGGGCAAACAAGCATCGCACACCATCTGGGCGAAACATGGGTTTATATTTTTGCAGAAGGGAAGAGGCGAAGAGTTCTCCTCTCTTGTCAGTCTTGCACTGCTTCCTCCATCTGGAAAGCCACCCTCTCCCTATTGTACATGTAAGCTGATTTGGTCTTATGCCCCCTCTTTGCCCTTTCCCCCCCAGGAAGATCTGGTACAGATCGGGCAACAAGGTCTCGGGAGTTGGCAGGAGTTTTTGAAAATCCAGGCCTGCTGCACTCCCACGAAAGCCTTATTGGAAATAGCCTCGGCTGAAAATATTGAAAGCCCTTCCTTCAGCTGACACATGCTTCGTAGCGTCATGTGTGGCTGCTTCAAAGGAAATATTGAAAAGGAAACTGTCAATTAAAAACATCTTGCCTCTGTTTTGAAACAGAGAATATCATAACACAGGGAATGGAAATGTTAGTGCTTGGATCCGTCTAGGCTGGACAACGCTGAGAGAAATAGGTGGTCCTCCAGATATTGTGATGTGCAAGATAAATGTACGGGTGTGAAAGCTGTGCCAGTAAAGAAAGCTGATAGGGGGAAAAATTGATTGGTTTGAACTCTGGTCCTGGAGGAGAGCTTTGCAGATATTCTGGACAGCCAGAAAGACGAACAAGTGGATCCTAGATCAAATCAAGCCTGAATTCTCTCTGGAGCCAAAAATGATGAAACTGAGTTTGAGTGGAGGCAAAAATGATGAAACTGAGGCTCGTCTGAGTTAGGGCACATCCTGAGAAGGCAGGATTCTCTAGAAAAGACAATAAGGCTGGGAAAAGTGGAAGGCCATAGGGAAAGAGGAAGACCCAATACGAGATGGACGGACTCCCTAAATGAAGCCACAGGCTTGGATTTGCAGGAGCTGAGCAGGGCTGTTGGGGACAGGGCATGTTGGAGATCCCTCATTCCCGGGCCCTACGCATTTCTTGACCTTTGGGTGGCTACAGACGCCATAGCATCTTTTCCTGCCCACTCTTGGGGCCGTGTTAGCTGGGGATTCTGGGAAGTGTAGTCTCAAGAAGCAGTTTCCCCCACATCCTGCCTTTTTCCCTCCTTTTGGCCACCTCATGGCACAGCCTCGTATTTCCAACCTCCTGGGCTAATTAAAAATGCTACTCATGCCTTTGATCAGCTTCAGCTGACTTCTCACCTCCCGACAATGGCCACTGGCCACTTTTTAACCCTTACCTGACTTCTGTGGCGTCAAGTCTCAGATCACCTTTCACCCCTGGATGGTCTCCGTTGCGGAGATGCTGGGAGGTGCTGTTCGGCTACCGTGGCGCGGAAAGGCCAGCTGCTTTAGGCCCCAATTTTGCCGAATCCTCCGAGGCGGATGGACTGCCAAGGATTCGCTACGAGGCAGTACCTTCGCTGCGAGGTCAAGAACCTCCTGCCCACCGTTGCGGGTTTTACAATATCCTTGTAACATTTAAAGATAAGTGAAATGTACCACCTCAGGCATGAAAATAAACACTATCTGGAGCAAGCAACATTTACCCGCGGCTGATCAGTCCATAAATGTCATGCTGGCTCCAGGTTTAAGATGCAGAGCCAGGGGAGAAACTTCACCACGTCAGCCTCCTTCTCTTTCCCCATTTCAGACCGAAAACCTTGTTGGCTTCGGTGCACTTCGACCACGTTCTGCTCCGGTGATGCCTCCGTTGACCCTCTTTCTTAGAGGACATCCTCTATTCCAGAGGCTGTTCAGCCCCCTTTGAAAAAGTGTTCTTCACTTTTAGGGAAGTCCAGCCTGCGTCCAGTTTAACGGTAAAGAGCCAAAGAAGGAGGTCAAGGATCTTGAGGTCGCCCATCCCCCACAGAGGTTGATACCTGGACAAAAGCTTCAGGAAGCCTACAGGTCACCTCATCACAATTTCCCCCCCGTTCATGTGAGAGGTATTATAATTCTGCTGGAAGGATGAACATCAGTTTTTTTAAAATTTTGCACCTGAGTATATAAATGGGCTGATATGCGAATCTCTACTTTTCTGGTGCCATGTATGTCTTAGCGGGAAGCAAGACTGAGATAAAGAAACGGGACCTTTAATTTTTTCAGGGACCTTGGTGCAGGCCGAGAAACAGACCAAGAGATTCAGCATCAGCTGAAAGATGCTGAGCTCCTAAACGATGTCAACTTCAAGTGTTCCTTTAAGAGAAGCACCACCGACAAGAGAAGTTCTCATTTTGGAAGGGCCTTATGTAGAAGATTTTCCGCTGTAATACAATACTGGTGTAATACAAATAGCAAGCTACCGGGTCAATTCTGACTTCGGGTGACCCTTTCTAGAGTTTTTCAGGTAAAAAATACTCCGAAGTGTTTTCCCATGTCCTTTCTCTGGGGGTCCCGCTGGCGCCGGGCGGCTTGCCCAAGGCTACCCAGGCTGGCTCTTCTGGGATGCACGTGGGGGAGTGGAATTCCCAGCCTCTGGCTTCTTAGCTAGGGACCCAACTCATACTGGTCATACTGGTTTAGATCGCTCTAAAAAGGTGGTTTGCCCCATTCATGGAGAGAAAGCATCTGCCTCCAGTTACTACTTCCAGATGATTGGCTAGAACACTGGTTCTTAACCTTGGGTTACTCAGGAGTTTTGGACTGCAACTCCCAGAAGCCTTCACCACCAGCTGTCCTGACTGGGGTTTCTGGGAGTTGCAGTTCAAAAGCATCCGAGTAACAAAGGTTAAGAACCACTGGGCTAGAACATCCGTGTTCAGGAGCATTGTATCTTTGAATACCAGGTTTGAAAGGGGGGCTGGGGGGAGTGAAAGGCTGGAATAGGTGCTAGAGATGGGCGCTTCGTATTGGTATCCAGGCTATGCGAATACGAAGCGCCCATCCCTAGGCGGGGAGAGCAGC